CTAATATCTGATTAATCCAGTTTCGTATTATTATCCAAACCAATTCTAACATAATTAGGTTTACTAACATTGTTGATTTAGTTATTTTTAATTTTAGATTTATATTTTAATTCATTACATTTTTATTTAGTTAAAAATTTTGGATGATCTATTGATACTAAAATCTCAATTCGGTCTTTAAGTTTGAAGTTGTCTTAGGTCTTAATTTTTAAATTGTGTAATAAATAGACAATTTCCGTTAAGTAAAAAATAAGGCATTAAAATGTGTCTGTAATATTTAAAAAAACACATGTCATTGTTGAATCATTTAAGTCATTGACGTGTTATTTCATCCTTTCTAGTCAGTCACTGTTTGCCCTAAGATTTAAATTAACTCAAACATTGTTCATCTTCTTCGAAAATTGATTGGCTGAGACATGTATAGTTCTTCTTTGTTCTGCACTTACAATGGTCAGAATGGGCAAGCTACTATGCTCTTGCCACCACCCAGAAACTCCAAGTCAGACCAACCACCACCAACAACATTCACTTCTATATTAGAAACCCAAGGAAAACCCCAAGGTGCAACCACCAACAATGGGTACCCAAAACTTAAGAGACTGAAAAAACATAAGTCACTGGATCATGAATATCAAGCTCGCACCACCAACATGCAGAGATCAATCAGAAAATCAATTCGCAACCCCGATCCCGAAACGAACCCAGATCGCCAGAATCAGAAACCCAAAACGCGAAAACCTTAACCCCATAATTCCCAATTTAAGAAACCCTAATTTCAAACCCTAAATCGTGACCATCGAGAACCATAAATTGAAAGAACATAAGCAAAAGAAAACCCGAAAACTGCAAAGTCGCAAGCCACACACGATTTTCCCTCACCGCGAATCGCCGCGCCTGCCACCGGAAAAACGTCCCTACATCGCGAGTTGAACCAGAGGGGAAAAAAAGGAAGAAGGGAGCCCTCTCCTTGCATCGTGAACCAAAAATGGAAAGAAGGAGAAGAAAGGTACCTCCCCTAGAAACATCTCTGCCCACGAAACCAAGAAACCCCACGAGATTAGGTTCTTTTTCGAGAGAGAAACAAAACATTGGGGATTCAATTAGAGTTCTCTGAGTCTCCGGTTACAGAATAAATTAAAGGATTAAAGGTTTATTTCGTCTTCACCGTCTTTCCGGTTAATACTCGATTTTAAAATTAAAGATATTGAGTTTAGTCGACAATTATCGCGTTAAGTCCATGATGTGAACATATTTTTTCTTTTCTCTCTTCTACCTACGCTAAGAATAGATCAATTATTAAATCTTGCGTGTAAGTTTCTTTTACCAATTTCTCTTGGTAATTTATTATTAACAACGTCGTTTCAACTGTTTCCACTGCAAAAAAAAATGTGAACCTTCTATATTCAAAATTCAGAACTTGTTTTAAACAAGAAAAAGAAAAAAATATTCAAAGCTACTCAAATAGGTTACCCGTAACTATTCAATATCTTTATGAAAAAATAATCTCATCAGAACGTTTTCACATTGTCCAGCTTTTTTTCTCTTTTGTTTAGCTTTTTCTTTGATGATTTGTTGAACTTGTTCTTTCTTTATGGACCTTATTCATATATTTTTCATAACATAAGGACCCAATGTCTTCATTTTTAAAACTGGATACTAAATAAAAATTCACCTGAGACGAAGTAAACATTTAAGCCTAAATTAAATACAAATAAAATGAATTAAATTAAATTAAATAAAATTTTTAGAAAATAAATTAAATACGTATTCTACACAATAAACTTAATCATATCATATGCGCCACATCAACACATCTTAGCTGTTTTTTTCTATTAAAATTGTCTATTTATTACATATTTTAAAAAATTAAAACTCAATTGAAACAACTTATAAAAATTAAATTAAGATTTCAATACAAACATGAGGATCTTTCGAAGATTTTAATTCTTTTATTTTCAACATAACTACGCATGAGTGACATAATAAAAATGTGTCGTGCAAAATTTTTTATTAGAATAGATTTGATTCCAAAATTATTAAAATTGTGCAAGTTTTGAAAAAAAAAGTTAAAGTTGGACAAATCTGGGCATGTTGCATGACTTTATAACAAAAAAAATGTTACATTGCTAAAACAATTTCGTTGTAACTGAAAAGAAATTGTGTAAATTTGGACGACATTTTCTCTTTTTTTTTTTTAAAATTACTCCTTCATTCACATTATATATATAAATAGAGAGGTTGTTACAACATTCAACAACTTTAATATACTTCACAAGATAACTGAAGTAATGCTAACATGTCTCGAGACTTTGCTTTTGACTCAAATAATTAACTGAGTCGTTTCAAGTTGCAATGACTTTAACTTTTACAAAAAAAAAAGTCGTCCAAAGTTAACATGATTTCACTTCAGTATGAGATGACTTTATTTATTATGCACGACACAATTTGTCAACCTCGGAATTTGTTTAAAACTTATATCATTTTCATAATTTCATACCACATTCTATTTGTTTAGTAGACTAACTTTGATTGTTTAATATTGAGGTTCATATTTAATCCAATAACACGATCCAACAAGATTCATTAAACCTCTTTATTTTTAAACAACTCAAGCTTATGTTTATTGAGAAATATCTACGTATCATAATTAATCTCAACAATTTGATACTATGATTTATTTTGATGAAATATAATTATATTGTTATTAACTACTTTGATATTATATACTTGAGATTAGTATTATTCTAATGATAACATAGGTTCATGATCCGTGTTGATCTTATAAATGCAACTAGTATTCTCCAATAAATATTCATTCAATAATCACTCATATTCACTACTATATTCATAAATATCAAAACTCTCTTACTAACTTTGAGCATTAAAGAATCTTTTGTTGATGGATCTCCCCTCCTGATAAACAAGGGATTCAATTTGGGTCATCAAAAGCATTCAAGCCACCACTAGGATCTTGCCACCTGTCCATATAGATCCATGCTCAAGATTCTAGTAAGATGACATTGGTACCTATCGTGGGGCTGGTAACGAGATTCTCAGACAAACCATTGGTCTCTTAAGTCCTCCATTGGGGATGGTCAATCATTCATTTTAAACCTCAACTAAAGGGCTTATCTTTCTGCGATACATAATAGTTCCAATTCACTTAAGAGTCGAGGCCTAAGGCAATTTAAAACTCATTACGCTCTTAGGCGTCTTTTAAAGACAAAACAATGACATGCATCAAAGCAAATAATACCTTAGATGCATAGTGATTGATCCTAACAATAATACTCGATAGCTTTAAAGTAGAAATACATTATAAATTTTTTGCTATGCTAAATAAGTGTTTTTTCAATTATACTTTATTAGATATACATAAATTAAACAATATTAGACTAAAAATTATAATTGGTACAAATTATTATATACTGTTGTGATAATAATAAATAGGTTAAATCTCTCGGATAGTCCTCATATTTGTACAAAAATCTCAATTCGGGCATCAAGTTTTAAGTTGTCTCAATTTGGTCCTCATTTTTGAAAATGTGATACAATTTGGCCATTTTTGTTAATACATAATTGACGACATTATCAATGTCATGTGTCAATATGTGATTTTTTATTTTTTATTTTTATTTTAAAAAAAACGTTGTCACGTGTCAAATGAGGATCTTGCCACATGGCAGAGATAATGTGGCGTGACAGAGATAATGTGATGTGACAATGATAGTAACACGTGTCATGTGAAAAAAATCTCAATTTAGACCTTTTATTTGTATTTGGTCTCATTTTAGTTCTAATATATTTTTATTTAAATTGGACCAATGTCATCCATCTCCAAATTAAAACCAAATTTAACTTTTATATAGATGTATAATGATATCTTTATTAAAATTGATATTTTTATTAAATAAGTTTTACAATATTAAATTTATGTTATACATTGAACTTTATTTAAATTTTGTTTCAATTATGTTATACATTTTAAAATATTTTTATAACAAATTAAAATGAGTATATTTAAAATTTAAAAGAAAAATTTATACATTTTAATTTTTTATATTTATTTTAAATTGTTATATCATTATAGATCTATATAAAAGTTTAATTTGATTTTAATTTAGAGAGGAATGAAATTGCTCCAATTTAAAAAATCATTAGAACTAAAACGATATCAAATACAAATAAAATGACTAAATTGAAATTTTTCATATGACACGTGTCACAATCACTACCACGTGATAGGATCTCATTTGACATGTGACAAAGTTTTGTTTTTAAAAAAAATGTAAATAAAATTAAAAAGATTAAAAAATCAAAAAACCACATACTGACCTAGTTATATATATTAACAAAAAGATCAACTTACATCACATTTGAAAAATGAAGACCCATTTGAGATAACTTAAAACACCAAAGTGAGATTTATATACAAAGGTAAGACATTCGAGAGTTTTAACATCCAAGAATTGTGACTTCTTTTATTTGAAAAACACAATCATTCAAACACTAACATTTAATTATGATTTATAAGGAGACAAATTAATTAACTTATAATAAAAATAATACAATAAAAATAATAAACACATGTATTTATAAAATTTATACATATTTATTAACTCTGGTCATATATTAACACGCAAAACCATAAGTTTTTAATTAGAGAAACATTTTCTCAATTAATAAGTATTTTTACTAGGCTTTTCATTAATTAAGTAAACAAAAAATTCACATAAAGAAAAAGAAAAGTCAGCCGGAGCAAAAACAGTGTCGTAATTATGTGTCGGAAGTTGAATTTGGAACCAGTGAGACACACATCACATGACATATCACATGGTGCAAAGCAAAAATAGGAGAGAGCAGTAATACCATTCCAAATGGCTCTTCCTTCCAACATGCAAAACCCGAAAACCGCCCCTTGTAATGCAACCCACCATCTTCTCTTCCTCTCACTATTACACCACACACACACACACCCTTATAAATTCCCATACCCTCTTATTTCTCTCTCACATTATTACAATCACCGTCAACACACACAACCTTAACCTCATCAAACTCAAACAAACCCATGGACAGCATCGGCTCCCTCGACTCCAGTAAGCCCGCCAACAACGACGTCGGCAATGTCCCCAACGGCACCGCTTCAGCCATCAAGAACTCCGCCCCCGCCACAGCCGTCACCACCACCGAGGCCACCCTCGGCCGCCACCTCGCGCATCGCCTCGTGCAGGTTGGGGTCACAGACGTTTTCTCCGTCCCCGGTGACTTTAACCTCACCCTGCTCGACCACCTCATCGCGGAGCCCAAACTCACCAACGTCGGATGTTGCAACGAACTCAATGCCGGGTACGCCGCCGACGGCTACGCACGGTGCCGGGGCGTCGGCGCGTGCGTGGTGACGTTCACAGTGGGCGGGCTGAGTGTGATCAACGCAATCGCCGGCGCGTACAGTGAGAATCTTCCGGTGATTTGCATCGTTGGTGGACCCAACACGAACGACTTCGGCACGAACAGGATCTTGCACCACACCATTGGGTTGCCAGATTTCAGTCAGGAACTCAGGTGCTTCCAAACTGTTACCTGCTACCAGGTCAGAATCTCACCCTCATTTTGTTTCCATCTCCATTTACCATGTTATTTCATTACAATAATCCATGGTTTTTAATAAAAATAATAATAATTCGACACCTATGAACAAATAATAATAATTCTGGTCTAGTGACTCTTGATTTAAATTACAGTGTTTTTGTATATTTTTTTTTACATAAATACGATTGATTTATTAGAAAAGTTGGGGTATTTGAATAAAATTATGAAAAATATTTTGTTAATAATTATTTTTATAACTTTTTTACAATTGCAATTGGTTTATTTCAAATATTTTCTTAAAAATAAATTCTAAGAAATTAATAAAATAGTAATACATGATTTATTATTAAAAAATTATTATAAAAAATTGTCAACATATCTGAGGTCTAAAATTATTTAGATCGTGACACATGCAATAATCATAATAGCGTCTTAAGCATTTAATTAAAGAGAACATTCATTTTCTTAATTTGCCTGCTTTCTATTTTCAACCAATGAGACATCATCATAAATATGATTTAAAGAAATATTTTACTTATTCTAAAAAGGAAGAAACTACATTAGTGTGTGATTAGACATATTGTATTCAACTTTTAATTGTTGATTATTTATAACAGACTTCTTTCCTATTTATGTCTTTTTCTGTGGGTGTAATCTGAAAGGATAAAGTGATTTTGAGTAGATCTCAGTAAAAAGAGAATTAATGCACCTGAATATTTGTGAAACTAAAAATCACCATTCATACTTTTACCCCTCATAATAAAAAAATTATTTTCAGTAATGAATTTTATTAAATTATTTTTTAATATGTGTAATAAAAATAATTATTTTCTAAATTAAATTATTGATGTATAATATTATATTATTAAAATAAAATTTTGAAGTGAATGTTTATTTCAATAAACAACGTCAAAGTATAATTTTTCAGCTACAATTACTTCAATTTTAAGTGTACAAGGTGCAATAGTAGTGTTCTTGTATGTAACATGACTTGAGTGGTTTTTGCATCAAACTAGGTATATTTGGCTTTAATATTACTAAAGTGGGCAAATTCAATCGAAATTACGAAAATTGAGAAGTCGTGAGGGGTCCAAACGACTTCAATTGAAGAAGTCGTGCCCCCAGCACGACTTCACACTGTTCATTAGTGTGAAGTCGTACCCCATGTACGACTTCACACTGTTCAATAGTGTGAAGTCGTGCAGGGAGCACAACTTCTTCAATTAAAGTCGTTTGGCCCCCCACGACTTCACTTTGGATCAAAATTTATCCATTTTAATACTATTGAAGGCATATTTGCCTAGTTTGGTGAAAAACCTGACTTGAGTACTTATCTTCTGAAAAATTATAAACGGATACCTTTTTTATCTTGTACATTTTTCTAACATAATAAAGTATTAATATTTTTAACTTTTTATTTAATATAGATCCGTTTATTTTACATTTAAAAATAAAAATATTCTTTTAATATACATGAACTGAAGTAAAGAAAATAAAGTTTTATTTCTTAACTTTCTTGATGGATATGAATCTGTGATTGTGCTAAATGATTTTAGTGTATGGTTTGATAGGCTGTGGTGAATAACATAGAGGATGCTCATGAAATGATTGATACAGCGATCTCAACCTGTTTGAAAGAAAGCAAGCCCGTCTACATAAGCATAAGCTGTAACTTGCCTGGCATTCCTCACCCCACTTTCAGTCGTGAACCAGTTCCATTTTCTCTCTCTCCCAGGTTTGATTTTTCATATTCTTTTGATTAAATACTCAACTTGGTTTGTGAGACACTGATTCCCTTAAAGGGAAATTTATCAGTCACTTTAGTTCAACATTTGAAATGTCATTCTACTTGAGTAATAATGTTAACATACTTTTTATGAACTAAAATTGCAGCAAGTGGTTAGATTTAAGGTTTAAATTGATAGCATGAGGTTGTTCTTATTCTTGAAGGACTAATGTTTGTTGTAAGTTCTTTTAGAAAGGGGAAATGATGATAATAGATGTATATGTTTCTTTCTCAGTGGTTTTCTTTATTGATGGGTGTTATACTGTTACAGATTGAGTAACAAGCTAGGGTTGGAGGCAGCGGTGGAGGCAGCAGCAGCGTTCCTAAACAAGGCAGTGAAGCCTGTAATGGTGGGTGGTCCAAAACTGAGGGTGGCTAAGGCATGTGAGGCTTTTGTTGAGCTTGCCGATGCATCTGGCTATCCATTTGCTGTGATGCCATCAGCCAAAGGACTAGTACCTGAGTACCACCCGCACTTCATTGGCACATTCTGGGGAGCTGTGAGCACTGCTTTCTGTGCTGAGATTGTGGAATCTGCAGATGCATACTTGTTTGCTGGCCCCATTTTCAATGACTACAGTTCAGTAGGGTACTCTCTCCTTCTGAAGAAGGAGAAGGCCATCATTGTGCAGCCTGACCGAGTTGTGATCTCAAATGGACCTGCATTTGGGTGTATCCTCATGAAGGACTTCCTCACAGCACTTGGAAAGCGTCTTCAGCATAACAACACTGCATATGAAAACTATGCCAGGATATTTGTCCCTGATGGAAAGCCTCTGAAGGCTGAACCAGGAGAGCCTTTGAGGGTTAATATACTGTTTAAGCATGTTCAAGAAATGCTGTCTGGTGAGACTGCTGTGATTGCTGAGACAGGGGACTCCTGGTTTAACTGCCAAAAGCTGAAGTTGCCAAAAGGATGTGGGTGAGTAGCACGTTCAGTGTGATTGGTGTTTACCATTTTAGTTTTCATTCTAGCGTTTGTTTTCAGTTTTGAAGAGAAGGTTTGTTGACAGGTACGAGTTCCAAATGCAATATGGCTCAATTGGATGGTCTGTTGGTGCAACTCTTGGTTATGCTCAGGCTGTTCGTCCAAAGCGTGTGATTTCTTGCATTGGTGATGGAAGCTTTCAGGTTTGCCTTTCATAACTATCTAAGCACACTTCAATCAAAAGGAAATTGCTCTTTCTTGGTTACAGTACTCCAATAAATTTACAATTTTCACTCCCTCATGGTCTGCTATAACAAGTCTAAATTTTTTATCCTTACTCAACAATTCTTGAGCTAATTATAAGGCATTTTGTTTAACTTGTTTGCAGGTGACAGCTCAGGATGTCTCCACAATGATACGAAATGAGCAGAATCCCATCATCTTCCTGATAAACAATGGTGGATACACCATTGAAGTTGAAATTCATGACGGGCCATACAATGTGATTAAGAACTGGAACTACACTGCCTTGGTGGATGCAATCCACAATGGTGACGGGAAATGCTGGACCAGTAAGGTAAGTGACTACAAATTCTTACACATTCAACAACAAATTTGTTAATTGCATTCTTATGAAAAGTTCATCATGCATGCCTTATTTCAGGTCACATGCGAGGAGGAACTTATTGAAGCAATTCAGACAGCAACAGGAGACAAGAAAGATTGCTTATGCTTCATTGAGGTGATTGTTCACAAGGATGATACGAGCAAAGAATTGCTTGAGTGGGGCTCTAGGGTCTGTGCTGCAAATAGTCGTCCTCCTAATCCTCAGTGAATTTCCTACCATGAGCCATTACAAAGCTGATGGAATCAATATTGGAGTTTGGCTTTATCTTAGTTGAGATTAATTCCTTCGAGATGCTTGTGTACGAGAGAAATTTTCCTGTGTCTGTGCTTTGCATTTAATGTTTAGGTGTAGTGCATTTTACGGAAATTTATTCTTCGGGGACAAAAATTAATCTTTCACATTTTTTTTATAAATTAATGCTATTCTCTATTAACTTTGAGTTCGGAAAATTTATTACTTTATCTCACATTTACATAATAGAATCAGTTCACCTACCATGGTTAATTAATTTCTTTTGTAGTCATATGAATCAAAGTTCTCTAAAGTTGAATTTTCATCTGCATGAATCACATTGATTAAAATTAAACTTTAATATTAAATTATAAATAAGTTGAAAATTATAAATCATTTTATTTCAAACTACATACATTTCTTTTTAAACTACAAGTTCTCTTTATTAATGTGACATATATATATATATATATATATATATATATATATATATATATAGAGAGAGAGAGAGAGAGAGAGATAGATGTCACATTAATAGAAATGAGTCAAAGGGTCAACCTCTCCTTTGAAGACAATGACAGGTGTTTCACATCTTAGACCCACCAAAACAATAAAATAAAGTGAAAAACAAACTTTAAGTTTGTTTGTAATAGGTCGTACTTAAGTATTTAAAAACAGATTTCCATACAGTGAGGATGATACTATTTGGGAGGGAATGAATGAAGAATATTCCGTAGCCACTGGAATTTATTTCCGTTGTCTGTTGGCGATAACAGGGGAATAAAACTTTGCTTAAATTGTATATCAACTATTTTTTTTTTCTAAAATAGTATTCACTTTTATTGTATATATAGAGTCTAATTAGTCGTGTAATAAATGTTTATTTTACTTTTAGTAAAATAAGTAAAAATCTATATTCCTAATATAAAATATTTTAATTTTTGTATTAATCTTGAAAAAACTCACTGGTACAAAACAGACTTAAAAAAGTCTGTTTTACAACACACTAGACTTAAATTTTAAGTGTTAACAGACTTTGTTGACCAACAGACTTAGATCTTTGTACAATTATAAAAAAAAATGATAATGAATTTAATTTTATTGTGACCAGTTTAAATTTACTATTTTTTTAATTTTATTTATTTAATCATTAAACCAAAACCTAAAATGAAAAAAATCAAATTATCTAGTAAATTATCCAAAATCACCAAAACTAAATGATTATGAATTAAGCTTGAAATAAAAAATATTAAACATATGAAAAATTTGGAAACTATATATTTTAACATTACATTTCAATTTTTAATATAAATTTATTCAAATAAATACTTTTAAAAGTACTCAAATTAATCTTCACATTGTAGGAGATAACTTGTCCATTGCCAATAGACTCCATGAAGCGTTTCCAACTAATCTGCCTGTTACCCTGTAAAAAGAAGAAAATTAAATATTATAAATAATAAAAGAAACTGAAGAAATGTACAATAAAAGAAAATTAAGAAGTAAAAGAAAAATAAAGAAAGCCTTAAAAACGAATTTTCTAGTGTCATTTTTAAAAGTTTTCTATCAAATTAATCATGATAAAAACCACGCGACTGCACTGAAACTTTAAATCTATATTAAATTATGTTTTAGTTTGAATTTAAATAATGTATTATCATTAAATTTAAATTAGGTCTGTAAGTTATAATCCTAATAAAAACCAAAGTAGAAAAGCCTTTTACTTATATTATTTGGGTGGTGAGAAAACGGAGATAGAAGAGGTGGCTCTTTCTTTTGTACGTGGTGCTATAAATGGGACTAAATCATACACACTAATATTAAAAATAGTTTAGCCTCACCAGAAATTTCAGTTGTAGATCCCATTGCAACACCTAATGATATGTCCTGCATCATAAATATATTTTTTAAGTGAAACACATTTGACAAGCTTAACCTTATATGCAAAATTGAAAATTATGCTTAGCAAAATAACTTATGTGGAAACCATACCAACTTGTTCTTGAAAGGGAAAATGATTATACCGGTATGCTCTGCAGCGTTTCCCATAATTGATAACAAAATGATGCTAATGAAGTTAACAAAAATGCCCCAACTTATTCTATAAAATATTAAGTGGTTAAAGCTTGTTCTACATCCTTAATAAGTCAAAATGAGTGTCATATATTGAAAAGGAATTGTTATTTCTTTAGCAAAATTGTTGGAGTAAAGCTTATGAAATGTGTTGAATCAAGGGTAAAACATCAATCACCTCTTGTGCATCAAAAAATTGTCGATGTGTTTTTAATTGAAAGAAGATGTATCCGGCATATGCTAGAAGCATAACAATGCCGCTTGCTCTCTCCATCATGCACCATTCAATTGTTTAAGACCAATCAGATCAAATGTTTTCTTCACAATATAACATAAAGCAATGCTTCCTTGACTATCCTTCTAAGACAAAAAATAAAATAAAAAATATGTAAAAAATAAATGAAACCTGTAGTTAAGAAGAAAATGATGGAGGAAAATGGTGAGCTGAAGTTTGGTCAGGTCGCTCCCAGGACAAAATCTGCTTCCCAATCCAAATGGAATAAAAGAACCCGCTCTTGCTGTGTGATTCTGCAGAATACATAATTTTAAGACACATAACATATCATCTTCTGTTCCTCAAAATCAAACTCACATGTTCAAGAATGAGTGGAAGAACATTCTTTTTTCAAAATTAATTACTATATATCATACATACTTCCCATCTGGAAAGATCGAATTCCTTTGGATTGATGTAAGTTTCAGGGTCCATATTTCCATCCTTTTGGTATAGTAAAACCTGCAATTTTGCATTTTCCCATAAATGCTAAGGTATTGTAATGAACGAAAATTTTTAAATGTTGTAAGAAATACTGAAAAATATGGCACTAAATAACTAAACTAAACTAACCATTGGTGCTGAGGTCAACCTTTGCCTGTCTAAAGTTCGCAAATGAGATAGATGTTTTGCACAGCATCTCATGGATAACCTATTCAGAATATAGTTTTCTCAAACATAGCTTTTTTAAACAGCTTCATATTTCTCATCTTAATGATTCAGACCCTCATAAACATAGATTACATGCCATCAAGAACATATTATATATAAATATAAATCTATATACCTTCGAAAGATATTCCATTTGCTTAATTTCCTTTATGTATCAGACAAAAAAGGACCATTGCAATGCTGGTCTGTCGCCTCTACTATATCGCCGCAAGTGGTCATCGCCGGCTGGAGGAGAGAAGAGGCTTACAGATTGCCGCTTGGAGGTAAGAAAAACATGAATCGTTGCAGATCGCTGGCCGCACTCACCAGTGCCTCCATTGAAGCTACCAGCGCAACCACCATCAACCACCACGGGAAACCCGAAAGCGAGAATTAGAAACCCAAATCCCCATTTCGAAACCCTAACCCCCAAAAGAACACACGAAATTCTCCAAATCAGAATCCCCAATCCCAAAATCGTAACTTCAAAAGCCATTCCTTCAATACTCGAACATGAAAGTTGGTTGACACTATTCCGTCAACGCATCGCTGCCGGTGAGCCGCCAAAAGGTCGTCGTTGCCGGCTGGATGAGAGATGGGGAGGGAGAGAAATGGAAGGGTTTAGCACTCTGAAACATAAAAAAAATTTAAAAGATAAATTTAAAATTTTATTTTAGTATTAGCATATGTTATAAATTTAAGGTTTAATACCTCTTTTGGTCCCTCGAAGGGGGACAAATGTTCAATTGGGTCCTACCTTTTTTTAGAAATTCAATGTGGTCTCAAATTTTGTAAAAAGTGTGCAATCAAGTCCTTTTTGACGGCTTTGATTTTTTAACGGAGCAGCTGACAGGGTGGACTGAAGTTAGCTACGTGGCTGTGAGAGGGTAATACGTGGCTGTGTGAGGGTGATACGTGGCTGTGTGAGGGTGATNCGGCCAACCTCGGCGAAGTTTCGTTGATCTCCGCAAACCTGTCGCTCGAGACCCACCGCGCGAACCACCATCGAAACCCCAAGGGTCGCGCCTCTGCCGCTGTGTCGCTCACAAGCTCCGCCGCCGCGGACCACCCCAAAGCTGTCGCGAGTTGTCCCAACGTGAGAGAAAGGAAGCTGCCATATGGTTGCAGAGCAGCGCCGAAGGAGAAGAAGAGAAGGGGAAACTATATCTTTCCCTCACATGAGCGTGACGAAGCAGACATAAGAAGAAGAGGGTAGAAAGAAATTGGGATTTCCAATTTAGGGTTCATAATCCTTTCAGATTGGGAGTTTTCCCTCTTAATTCTAATTTTAATTAGGTTCCTAATTTTCAAATTTAGGATTTTTTGAATTAGGAAAACCACGTATTACCCTTTCACAGCCACGTAGCTAACTTCAGTCCACTTTGTCAGCTGCTCCGTTAAAAAATCAACGCCGTTTCCAAAAAGGACTTGATTGCACACTTTTTACAAAATTTGGGACTACATTGAACTTCTAAAAAAAGTAGAACCCAATTGAACATTTACCCCCTTTCGAGGGACCAAAAGAGATATTAAACCTAAATTTAAACAGTGTAAAATTCAAGTCTCATCCTCTTTAAACAGACTTAAAACAAAAAATTTTAAGTCTCTTGTTTAATTAAGAGACTTAAAGTAGTTTATTTTATTTACAAAATTTACATAGTATATTTTTTAAATTTAAATTTAAGTCTCTTATCATATTAACAGACTTAAAGTAGCATCTTTTATTTACAAAATGGTCACCCCATACTTTTTAAGTCTAACATTTTATTAATAAACTTAAATTTGCAGACTTAAAAACTTCTTTTTGCATTGTTTCATGATTTGACAAACACTTCTTATCGTTATCAAAAATCAAATATGTGTTTATTTATCTTAATTATTAACTGATCAAATAAAATTAAGGGAATTAAAATTTCATATTAAGAAGATAATTTTTTTCTCATCATATTTAAAATATTTTAATATTTATCGTAAATTGATTATTTATTTTTGTTAAATATTAATATGTTAGATATATTAAATTATTATATATTTTAAATAAATATTTTATATTTTTTTATCTTTAGTTAGTATAATATTATTTCTATTTATATTTTGGACTTAGTCTATATTTATTTTATTATAAATTCAATATACTATATTTATATTTAAGGAAGATTAATATGATACATAGTTCGTTTACCATATTGAACATGATATTTAGAGCCTAAGGTTTTTTGGAAATTTTTTGTCACCCATATGTCCATTATAATTGTCGTTGCCGTAGTTAGAGCAGTCGCCACCGTCATTGTCGCTAAAGCATCAGTTTCAATAAGCGACTACACGGTTATGCTTCTTTCGTCTAGGCGACTACAACGTCATTAAGATCGTCACCATCGGAATTTAGACGCATTCTCACACGTCGATCATAGTTTATTATTGTTGTCTTTTCCAATCGCACGTAGCAGCACATGTGTCATTGTCTTCGGCGCCGACCACCTTCGTGGACTCGTCATGACCTATTCTCCCTAGATTTGGCCTTCCTGCATTAATTGGGCTTGTTTTCGTGTTTAGGGTTTTTCTCTCTCCTACTTGTTTATGGCTTATTTCCATGTTGTTTCTTTTGACCTCTTTCTCTATCATTACTATGTTTGACATGTCCATACAAACTAACTATGTCAATGTGCATTTATCTATTGATAAGTCAAAGGACACTAATTATGTGACTTTGGCATCAAACGTTAAACTTTGGCTTAAGAATCAGGGGTATGTTGATCATAACACTCTGAGCGAAATAACTATTGATTCTGTTGCAATTACTTGTTGATTCAAAGTTGATGCTCAATTATGCATTGTTATCAAGGGTACCCTTCACTCTTCTTTAAAACAAAATTTTCATTCTTAGGAAACATGTTTTGAAATCTGGGAACACGCCATATACACCCATGATACTCAACTTAGTTATGATGTTTGTCATATCTTTTCAATGTTGTTGCTCCTCGATATTAGGACTCTATGACTGATTATATGAGTAAAATTCATGCTCTTTTTCATGAATTTAATAAATTATTGTCTTTTGCCTATACTCCTATCCCAGAAATAGAGCAATAATTAAAGTTCTTCATGATATTGGCATTACACGGCCTTGTTGATAAATATTTCCATATTTGTTATCAAATTTTAGGTTCACCTGTTGTACCCACTTTGACTTCTACTCGTTCCATTATTTTGTGTGCACCTACTAAACTCATCGATGATACACTTTTTTATTGACTCATCGATGATACACCTATTTCTATTTATATTTCATCTGCGTTAGCATCTCAACATCATCACTCTCGCAAGTCGGGAAAAGATGTCATAAGTGTGACCATTGTGGTAGGTTAGGTCACAAGATTGGCAAATATGTTACATGGTCGTTCTCCTAGATTTGTTGTTGTTAATCAGACTACTCCTCCCTCACAATCACCTACTAGGATCCTCTTTCATTCGATATTACCGATTACTTTATTATTTTCAATAAATTTCTTAAATGGTATAAAAATCAACAACTTTCTTGTTCCACTACATTTATAGCACACATAGGTACATATTTTGTTGGCTTGACTCCATCTTCTTCTCTTAATTCTTGGGTTCTTGACTCAGGAGCCACATATCACATTACTAGTAACAAATCTTTGTTTTCTCTTTATCCTCTCCGGATCCTTTACTTTTTGTTACAATGGCTAATGGATCTAGTATTTTAGCTCATGGAATTGGGATTATTAACCTTTTTCCTTTTTTATCCATTGATAATGTTCTTTATGTTCTTGGGTCTCCTTTTAACTTATTATCCTTTAGTTTTCTAGCTCATTCTCTTGATTGTGTTATCTCTTTTAATAAATACTAGTACAGGTAGGGCTTTTACATTAGTTATTTTGGAGATTATGCTTCAGTTCTTTAACCAAAATATATTCAGACGAGGTAAAAAATATATAACTTTAGGCTTCAGTTAACCAAAGCTTGTTCTTTACTTTATGCTTCAGTTCTTTTTGAACAAGAATCGAAGCCTATTCTTATATATATATATATATATTTTTTAAAAATCAATTTCTTCCTATCCTTACGTATTTTTTACCGAAGAACCACTATGTTCCCCACAAACAAACAAAGCCACCACTACCTTTCCCACCTCCACATTGAACAAAAGAGATTAAAAAAATATTTGCATTAGAAAAAACAAATTATGAAATAGAAAAAAATATTGAAGACAAAAAAGAATGAACCTCTAACCACTTTCGAAATGGGAAGAAAATGTATGCTCGTACTGACAACGCGACAACACACTTCACGTTGGCTACAACGAAGGGAAGGAGTGGAGGAGTGACGTCGAAAGTGACAACGTGGTTCGCATTTGGTGACGAGGAATGGAGAAAAGTGAAACTTGTAGTGGAGAACTAATATGGCGTAAATGAAAAAACTTTGGTGAGAATAATTTTAATCCTAACATACAAATAAGTCTCAATTCTTTAAAGAACTGAAGCATATAGTTGTGCAAATATTTTCAAAATATTTGCACAATTATAGGCTTCGGTTCTTTAAAGAATCGAGGTCTATAGTTTCACAAATATTTACAAAAATGCCACCAATTACATTTTTGAAATTATTTGGAAAATTATAGGTTTTGGTTCTTTAAAAATCAAAGCATATACCATTGTAGACTTCGGTTACTTTAAAATCAAAGGCTATAGTTGTACAAAAATTTCAAAATGTCATCGCGTTTTGAAATACTTCGTTTTCCTTGAAACCAAAGCTATTGAGTGATTTCAAAAGCACTTTTTTGTAGTTGTGAAAGATTTTGCTCATTTACAAGACCAAAGTTTGAGACAAGTGATTGACACTAAATGTGAGTCTCATGGTCTTTATCATCTCCACCCTTCTACAAATGTTGGAACGGTTATGAAGTCTCCATTTCTTTTTCTTGATTAGTTAGGTCATCCCAATCTTGCAAAATTGTAGCAGCTTGTTCCTAGCTTATCTAAGTTGTCTAATTTAGTCGGTGAGTCATGTTAATTAGAAAAACATATTCGTAGTTCCTTTCCTTGTAGTGTCTCACAACATGCTTCGTCTCTTTTTGCCTTAGTTCAATATGACATTTGGGAACCTAGTCATGTTAAGTCTAATTTATATTTTCAAACTTTCATTACTTTTATTGATGATTATTCCCGATGTACTGGACTGTTTTTAATGAAAAATCTAATGCTGTCAAAATGGGTTGTAA